CAGCATGTATTGTGCAGCACTGTGTATTTCCTGTTTCATACACATAGCTTATATATTAGCGCCAGAGATGTGATTATTTTGTATGGAAATAATGCCAGAAAAAAAAAATTTCCTACCCTTAAAACTTCTCTGTTGAGATAGAAAAGGTTTATTTTGTCTGCTGTTGTTTGGCTCTGGGGAGTTAAGCCTTCTTTAGAATCTTGCAGATTTATTGATTATCTGAATTTTGATGATAGGGTCAGTTTTCTGTCTTGAACTGTGTGACTGCCATTTACATGTGTGGTGAATTCAAGATGAATGTCTTTCCTGAAACTGTATCCACTGGCTAGGTAGGAAATGTTTAAAATAATTAGTTAAACAGCTTACGGCTTACACACAGGCCTGGTTAATGTTAGGTTCTTACTGGACTGGTTACTGGAGATTGGGCTTTTAAATGCATCATTGTGGGGCTTTTTGATAGAATCATGGTGAGAATTAGAAGGGTTCCAACATTAGTTAAAAAAACTGAGTAGTTTTTATTAAATGTTCTTGTTAGTCAGGATAAGGAAATACTAGCAATTCCTATGAGCCAAAATTCAGCTTTTGGAAGTAAAATTAAAATATTCTCTTCCATGCCCACCTTATTTTTCTACAACCCACCCTTCCTCTCCTCCCCCCCTCAAAAAAAAAGGAAAAAAAGTTTAGGATAAATTTCACTGCTTAATGTGGTACAGCACTAATCTGGTTCTTTTCTAACACCATAGGCTAGGTCTAGAAGCTAAAAAAGAAGAAAATCTTTCAGAGTGGTTCTCTCAGGTAAGTGCACATCAATTTAAATTAACTATTTCATTCTGTTACAAAGATCTGTTTGGTACTTACGTCTAATCTTATATGTCTGTTTGAGTCTGTTTTTTAAAATACATAGCAAAATACTCCTTTCTATGTCTTACATTGTTACCATGGTCTTAAAGAGAAGTGCTTCAAATTAAAGAGCTGAATAAATTTAGGAAACTGGAAAAAGGGCGAGTGTCAACCACCTAGCCTTATATATAATATATATATATATATGATTTTTTAAATTCATTCCTGAATTTCTCTTCCATTAAGAGTACAAAACTTCATTGAAATGTTAGGAGTTTCACAGACTTGGGAGTTTCATTTCAGCTCAAGGTGATGTGTAACAAAAGTTAGTATCTATTGATACTGAATGAGTTTGCTGGCTTGTGAGAATGAAAACAACCAGAGCAGAGATGATTAGTTTAGATTAGTCTTGTTATGAGGGATTTTAAATAAGTGTCAGTGGTGTACATTTCCTCTCAGTAGTGTAGTTTTTGCCTGTACTCCTAAGGAATCTCCTCTGACATGAGCTAGAGACGTTTCTTACAAAAGAGTAGTTTTTTGTTTCCTGAAAATTAGCTGTATTCTCTTACTAGTATTAGTGAAATACAATTTTAGTTAAGTGCTCAAATTTTGCATATCTATTATTAAATTTAATGTTCCTGTTTAACATTCTCCAGGTAACACAAGTGACCTTAAAGTATATCTTAGCTGCTTACAATTTGAGCACTTTTAAATAGGAGACTTCTCTTGAACTGCATGACACACACTTGAATAACTGAATGTTCTCTGTGTATAAACTAAAACTTGAGCATCTGAATAATCTTTTGCAAGGTGATCACAAAATCAGAGATGATTGAATACTATGATGTGAGTGGCTGTTACATTCTTCGTCCTTGGGCTCATGCAATTTGGGAAGCTATCAAAGACTTCTTCGATGCAGAGATCAAGAAACTTGGAGTGGAAAACTGCTACTTCCCCATGTTTGTGTCCCAGGCTGCCCTGGAGACAGAGAAGTCTCATATTGCTGACTTTGCTCCTGAGGTACACCTCAAAACTTTATTTTAATCTGACTATAAGAAAGCTGAACATGAAAGTAAGTTTCGGGTTGGAGGTATTTTTTTCCAAACTTGTTTTATTTGATTTTTTTTTCCTTTATTCCTTCTTTTAGGTTGCTTGGGTCACAAGATCTGGGAAAACAGAGCTGGCTGAACCGATTGCTATACGTCCCACCAGTGAAACAGGTAGGCTTCTTTTCATTAGTTTGGCTGTWAAGTTATATGTAAAGTTTTAGGTATAGTATAGCTGATAGACAAGARTCCCTTTTAGAAAGTGGAAGCCCCYATTTTTCAGAACGTTTTCTKTAACTCCTTTGGAAARTGTCCCAATTWTGCTRCTGCTTACRTCAAATYTCACACTGTATATTCCCTTAAATAGACTCTTYTAGGAAATGCAGACTTCTAGAATTTTTTCAYTGATATCCTGAAGACTGATTTTGCCTGAAAACACACTTGATTATTTCTTCCATAGAGTTTATAAGAAAATTTCTTCCACTCATCATTCACTTCAGTTTTGCRTGTATTTTGACTGTAACTGTTCCTTTGAGTAATTTAAACAAGCATTTTAGCACCTGAGGCTGGATGACTTTTAAATTGAGTCAGGTCTAGTGTAGCATCCTGAAATCTCGAGGTCAGTGAATTGCTATTTGTGACCCCACGTGTATTTACCATACTGTAAGCCAGTGACTCAAACACAGTGCCATTAAACAATAAGCTTTGAATTGTACTTTGACCAGCAGCAGCCAAACTATTTTGCAGAGACTTGGGATGAAGTGAAAATACTATGTGTTAAGACAAAGAATGTGTTTTAAAGGAAATTAAACATAAAAGTGTAGTTCTCACAAGAGAGAATGTTGAGCTTATATGTAGCAAAAATAAAAGTTTGACATAAATGTCTGTATTGTGTGGAGACTCAAAGCTGCTTTCTTTTTACAGTCATGTATCCTTCCTATGCAAAGTGGGTGCAGTCCCACAGGGATCTTCCTATCAAGCTGAATCAGTGGTGTAGTGTTGTGGTATGTATATATGATTTCTGAGTGCCTCTTCTTATCAAGACTGCAGGGTGGGACAATTATTCTCTGTGGCCTTGGCATGATCATACTGATCACAGCATATATTTTAAAGGAAAACAATTGCCATGGTTTATATGATTTGCTTTTCTCAGTGTTTTTAGTAAAACATACTTTATCAATGTATATTGTTGATTATAGTAACAAGAAGCCTGTGAATAGTTGACCTTTTACCTTTATTCAGAATTTCCTAATACTTGCTGATAAACATTATTTTTAACAATGATTTGACACTTCTGTGTTAAATGTTCAACTTTTTTTTTATTTCTGCCCCTCCAGCGCTGGGAGTTCAAACATCCCCAGCCTTTCCTTCGCACTCGTGAGTTCCTTTGGCAAGAGGGTCACACAGCATTTGCAACATATGAAGAAGCAGCAGAGGAGGTAAAAAGAAAATGCACTGGTGCTTTTCCTTTCAGGAAGTTATCTTGCTCCATAGCAACACAAATCTTTGTACTGGGACCTCATAGAAATTTTTCTTCTTTTCTTTGGGAGCCTTTGTGAAAAATGCCAAGTATAATAGAACTCATTTTTCTTCTCAGATGTAACCCATTTCTGAGGCTTGAGTGTCTACAAACGATATGGGGAGTTTGAAGCATGTGATATATAGAGAGTGCTTTCCTTAAAAATAGTTTTTCTTAAAAATATGTAAAAAATCTGTTTTCCTTAAAATGTTAAGTAATGCATTCACATATTTACGGCTAGAAGTTTTAACACTTTCTTTGCCCAAAAGGCTAATGTTTCATCGAGTGTTGTGGCATATCTTAATTTTTGTAGGAGATTGTTCAGACTTTTAGATGGAATTTAGAAGTCAGTATAACTCTTGGCCTGTCATTTCTGCTGTAAATCATTTTCTGTCATGACTTGTAGTTGTTGCTTTTTGATTCAGAGAAAAAAAGGGTCCAACGTTTAAAGTTATGGAAGAAGTCTTATTTTTTAAATGAAGTTTTGAGAAAGAGTTAAAATGTTAAGATTTCAGACTCTGTCATGTAAAAATATTTCATGATGTAACAAAGGCAAAATACTGAGTAATTCTGAAGATAGTTTGTTCATCATAGGTGCTGCAGATACTTGATCTATATGCTCGAGTGTATGAAGATCTCTTGGCAATACCTGTTGTAAAAGGAAGGAAGACAGAGAAGGAGAAGTTTGCTGGGGGTGATTATACAACCACTTTAGAGGCATTTATATCTGCCAGCGGAAGAGCAATCCAGGTATTTACCCATTATAATAATTGTTTTCATTAAATATAGTAAGATGAAATACTTAAACTGATGCTCTGTAGATTTCACTCCCCATTGAAAACAATTTTCTGTGTGCATCTATTTCAGGGAGCAACATCACATCATCTAGGGCAGAATTTCTCAAAGATGTTTGAAATTGTGTTTGAAGATCCCAAGAAGCCAGGAGAAAAGCAGTTTGCTTATCAGAATTCCTGGGGCATTACAACTCGGACTATTGGTGTAATGACAATGATTCATGGAGATAACATGGGATTGGTACTCCCACCTCGTGTAGCCTGTATTCAGGTGTGTAAAAAAGCCTTAAACTACCTTAGTTTCCTTCCTTGTCATGGAATTCATGAGCATTTCATATCAGGCAGCTGGAAGACTTATAGGATGGAGCTGCTCAATAACAGAGTAAAGTGTATGAAGTTAATACAATCATTAGGATACTTGTGGTGGACAAGTCCCCTTTGATAGCCCATCCATTTAAAGCAATGTTATCAATGCCATTGGTATGGAAAGGGAAATGGCTCCTTTACATCTGAGAGTGTAAAAGAAATGACTGGAAAATCAGGCCACAACATTGGGTTTAAGTTTTATATAACTATGAGCTAATGTTTTTATGGTGTAAAGTGCATGTCCTGCTCTGTTGCAGGTTGTAATTATTCCCTGTGGAATCACAAACTCCCTTTCTGAAGAGGACAGAGAGTCTCTGTTGAAGAAATGTAATGAATATCGCAGTAGGCTGCTTGCTGTCAGCATCCGTGTCCGGGCGGACTTAAGAGACAACTACTCACCTGGATGGAAGTTCAACCACTGGGAACTTAAGGTACATTTCTTTCCAGGAGGTATTTTGAAGCTTAGAAGACTTCTAATGTTACTTCCTGGAAAAGCCAAGTCATTGGTACTTCCTTTATAATGTCTGGTATTAGYTCCATTGCTTTCTTAGGAAATTTTYCCAAGTGACCWTTAGATATTATATCTCTTAGTAGTATTAGAAGTCCTAGGTATTTTTGTCCAAGTTTTCTTTGTGGAGACAGTGTTTTGTCCTTCATAAACTAGAATGTTCAGGTCAAATTGCTTGTTAATGACAGTATTGAATATGTAGTATTTTTATGTAGCTTTGTAGTAGTAGTAGTAGACAGTTCACTGTTCAGATGGATTTTACTCACCTTTTTAGCATAAATAAGGCAATGGGGGCAGAGGGAGAATAGGGAATAATTTGGAAGCTGTGAACTTGAGGAGATTCCAGAGCACACAATGCATGGAAGGCTTGGGAACAGGTTTTGATTCTCCTGTCCATCTCTTGAACACTGTAGAATGGTTTTAGCTTATAAACTTACTGATTCAATTTCCTTTAAGGGGGAAAAAGAATCCTCCAAAATGCATTTGCATTCRCTCCTTTCATTTCCTGTGAAAGAATGTGTACACTTTGAGATACATGTTAGTATGCAGAGAAGATTAGTTACACAGTGGACCCTTAACTGACTCWTTCCAGTAAAATGGAAAATCTTTTTGTTAATGGTACATGGGAGATGAGGAATTGCATCTTATCACGAAAGTTTATAAAGCATAAAAGCTTTGCTAAAGCAGTTAGCTGTTTGTAGTCAAATATTCTATGCAATTAATGTTGATGTTAGGGCTGCATTWAACACAACTTTTGCTGTTTGCTGTTAATACAACAGCTGTTGAATGCTGTTGAAATGATGCTGAAAGTGTTCTGTGAAAACAGAATTAAGATGTATTATTGGATGACCTAGARCATTGTAATTACTATTTAAGTCTTAATTGTTCAGACTTTCAAAATCTGATTGGCAATAYGTGGGATAGCTGTCTTAGTGCCATTTCAGTTGTGCTTCATTATTATTTGCACGTTGGCACTGATGCAGTGTCCAAGCTAGTGAAGCAAGGTATAATGCACAAGAGAAGAGATTGTGGATGGGAAAGAAATGCATAAAAGCTTTGGATATGTGGTGATTTTTTTAAAGAAACTCAAATATATAAAGTGAGTATATATCAAGACTGGACTTCAAAACAAGCAAAAAGCCACAAAGAAAGAGAGAGAGAGAGAGAGAGAGAGAGAGAAAATGAGATCTTCTGAGAATTACTTCTGCATGATAACTTCGAATTTTCTTTTTTTCCACAAGGGTGTTCCAGTCAGGGTTGAAGTGGGACCACGAGACATGAAGAGCCAACAGTTTGTAGCTGTTAGAAGAGACACAGGACAGAAGCTGACATTGTCTGAACATGAAGCAGAAGAGAAACTTAAGCAGATCTTGGAGGAGATCCATGCAAACCTTTACAGCAGGTAAATTGAAAGTTACAGTAAATGGCTGTGCTAATCWCAGATGTTCTTTACCTGTCAGAAGAACTTCTCTCATTATTGCTTTTTCTGGGGAAAGACAGGTTAGGTCCATCTTCCTGTTTGTGACATGTAATTTTCTCCCTGTTAAACTGCTTCGCATACAGTGATAGAAGTTGCCTATTGTTCTTACGAAACAGAAGGTAAAAGGTTGTAAACTCTCTTTTAAAAATACTTCCCTGAGTTCACGTGTATTATTAATGAACAAGTACACCATAATTAGTGTCCTAATGACCTAAAACTGCCCAAGGAAGGGCAGCAGAGCTGGTGAAGGGTGTAGAGCACAAGTCCTGCAAGGAGTGGCTGAGGGAGCTGGGGTTGCTTATGCTGGAGAAAAGGAGGCTCAGGGGGAGACCTTATCACTCTGCAACCATGTGAGAGTACAGTCAGGTGAGAGTTGGCCTCTTTTCCCAGGTAACAAGTGACAGGATAGGAGGAAATKATCTCAASTTGACYCAGGGGAGGTTTAGATYGGGTATTGGAAAAGATTTCTTCACTGAAAGTGTGATCAAGCATTGATACAGGCTGCCCAGCACAGTAATGGAATAGCCATCCATGGAAATGTTCAGGAAACACAYAGATGTGCYTAGGGACATGGTTTAGTGGTGRGCCTGGCAGTGTTGGCTTAGTGGATGGACTCAATATTCTTAGAGGTCTTTTCCAGCCTAAATAATTCCATGATCCTRTGTACAGGACTCAGTTGTGAAAGATGCTTTTGGTATGCAATTTTGAAAGACACAGAGCTATCCAAGAAACTTCAGTAGTTGAAGTTCTGTGTCCAGAAATTTATTTTAAGACCCTATGGACCTTCACAGGGTTGTTTCCTTGTAAGCAGTCAAATATTTCCAGAACTGATTTTYGCCCTCATTGCAAATGCCAAAATCACAGATGAGCTTTTCTATTTCCTTCTCTTGTGTTCAAAATTGTTTACAGGCAGAATGTTTTTATCTAGTTCAAAAGCATCTTGTGATTTAGATGATAATTTTAAAAAGAAAAATATACATCTCTATTATTTGTTTCTGTCTGCTTTGGGTCAGTGTTTAACTGACATGCACAACAGTGTGAATTAACACACTGAAAGATGCAGTGGCTTGGAGAACACCCCATCATCAGCAATTGACCAAAATTTTTTCTCTTTGAGAGGAGAAGTGGTAAAAAGTCRTAACCTGATTAGGAAGATTCTAATGAAAATATAGCTCATGTTGTGACCTTTTGTTATGACTGACTCTGAAAACTTGGCTCATTTGTCCAGTGAGTTTATGTGAATAAATCTGCCCTGACTGAATTTTTTTTCCTTTTCTTAGAGCATCTGAGGACCTAAAAAGTCATATGGTGGTGGCCAATAACATGGAGGACTTTCAAAAGGAGCTTGATTCAGGAAAGGTAAGGAAATAGTTACCTCTTCTATTCTTGTGCTTCACAGCCTTTCTATCCCTTATAAATAATGATTTTATCAGAATATGCTTTTAAGAGAGAGTRATGTAAACATTTCATTCAGGTTGCAATAACCTCACTGTCATTATTCTAATGCAAACAGTGACAAAACACTTATGAAGTTCCATGTGAAGGTCYAGGTAAGAGTTTAAAGTACAAGCTATTTACGTCAAGGAAGTTTTACCTTTATGACCTGAGTAGAAGCCATCGGGTTCATTAAGAATTACTCCCARGTCAGAAACYTCCTTGRGTTGATAGTAACAATAACCCATCAWGTGGATAAGGGAKCCCTGCTGATCTAGACATCTGTGAAAAAATAATTGAAGTTTAGATGAGAGATTAGGCCTTCAGTACAGAACTGAGCTGCTGTTTCATTTTCAAAGAGCCACTGGCAGAAATTTTTAACCCTAAAATTCTGTCACATATCAGGTTGTGAAATTGTTTATGTATTTCAAGACAAAGAAATCATTGAGGACAACATCAGCTCTTTAAAAGGTCTTAAGAGATGCAGTACATATGTGGAGAGAGTGAAATGTCTGGTCTTCAATATCCAGCACTTGCTGTTGTGTGCAGCTAGATTCTAGACAAGACAAAGAATTAAGCTATTTTTTTAATGTTTAGAACTTTAATATAAGCTAAATGTAGTTAAGCTTGGAAATGTAAACAAATATTTTTACATTCCATGTTGAATACTTCTACCATTTTGGTATTTAGGTTATATAAATTTATTACGACCTGCATATCTGAGTTGAAAAAAATTGAAAARTAATTTTATGTTTGCTTCACTCTCTATTTTTGTTGTATACTCAAAATTTTATAGCGTATTTATTCTGTAATTACTTGAAATTACTTGAGTTAGCACTGACTACTGTTTAAGAGGAAAATTTGTAAGATGAAATAAGTGCTCCTGTTTAATTACTGTTGCTGTYTTTTCCTTAATGGAATTGCTGACTCTTAGCTCTTTAAAAATACGGACTATTCCTGTCTTTTAAGTTGTATGCAGAATTTAGTTGAAACTCTTAAGAAAAGTGGCACAGGTATTTAAACAGTTTAGTTTCACTGACAAAAGCTTAATGCAAGAACAATGTGGTAGAGTGGTAATGKTTCCTTTTTTCAATTTTAAGTAAGTGAAACTATGAAGTGAAGTCTAATAAAAGTAGTTCCAGTTAATGATAAAGTGAGAATTTTGCAGTAAGAATGTAAATCAGGTGAAAGAAAGACACACTGAGTAAACCTGATTCACAGTTTGGATAGAATTAAAATGACTGAAGGCTGAATTTAGTAGCTGGTGTTGCCCTCAGCTGTCAGCATTACATGAGTGTTCAAATGTGTGTAGGGGGTGTTTTTTTTAACAGTAATGCTGCCTCTTGGTAGCAAACTGAGTTTTCTCTGTRAAAGTCCATTAATTTTTTTTTTAAAAATCAGTAAAATTTTGGATGAAACTAGGGACAAGAAATCTGCTACAATTATCTAAGGGTAGTACTGAGAGGAGTCTGTGCTATCATTTCAGCCTTACTCTCTTGATTTTCTTCAGTTAAGCTTAGTGAAAGAAACAGCAGAAAACTGCATACCCACCCCCACACCCCCCAGAAAAATGTGCTATTGGCARTTCTGTTTCCTTAAAATGTGTGTGCTCAGAAAAAAAGAAAATTCATAGTAATGGAATTAAAGTGGGAACTTTGCTAGGAGGGCACCATCTTGCAGTGTAAAAGGTGAGCGTTTGAGCAGTAGTTTGAAAATTTTAAATTTTTCCTGAAATGCAGAACATTTTGTGAGAAAACAGTGTTTATGCTTTCCACAGAAGAAAAATGTATTTGATTAAAAAAAAGTGATTTAAATTTAAATGCTGGTTTGGGTTTGTGTGGGATTTTCCATACTGCACTGTGGAGGGATGACTGTGCTTGTCTACTTCTCCAATGAAAAAGTGGTATTAAAATTCAATTGTAACCATTGGAACTTCTCCCAGTTTGAGATCTGTATATGASCTCTGAAGGTTTAAGAATCTTCCAGAGACAGAGGTGATTCTTTTATATGTATAACTGTTGGGTTTTTTCTCTCCCTTCCTCTCCTCCTTTCAGATTGTACAAATCCCTTTTTGTGGGGAAATTGAGTGCGAGGATTGGATCAAGAAGACCACTGCCAGGTAAAATATAACTAAACTGGAAAGTGTTTACCAAGATGAAAGTCAAAATATTTTGAATATAAAAGAGGAGTGCAAGATGCCTCTGGGTGTAACACTTCAGTACAGACTCTTGCTGTCCTGCATAATTCAATATATTTACTTCCCTTATTTCTGGAACTGTCAGAATAATTAATCCGTTCTAAAGATTTTATATATAATACACTTTATTGCACTTTTGTGATTTAACATAAATAATTATTTATGGGTTTTTATTTATGAATATGGTTTTATTTCAGGGATCAAGATCTTGAGCCTGGTGCCCCATCMATGGGAGCCAAAAGCCTCTGCATACCTTTCCAGCCTCTCCAAGAACTCCAGCGTGGAGCAAGATGTGTGTGTGGCAAAAACCCTGCCAAGTTCTACACCCTCTTCGGTCGTAGTTACTAAATCACTAGTGAAAGAACCTTCTCCTTTATCTGTGAATTGAACTTTTTTTAATAAGACTGAAATAGCCCCTTACAACTTAAATCGGTTTTGTGACTTTTTAAATAATTCAAAGACAAAGCCATAAACCATAACCCGGCGCCCCAGTGGTCAGTCTTAGGCTAGCAGTAATTCACAGACTTTTCTGTAAACATCTCCGATAATAAACATGTATTGTGAGCTGTAACATGCTGTGGTGTTCTTTTTCTGTGTTCTCAGTGGGGAAGAATAGGTATCCTTTGCTCGGGTCTTTTTTCTGGTTTGGTGCATGCATTTCCTTGTACAGTGAGAAAATGCCTGTAAGGTTGGAGAGAATGACATAAAAACTACAGTTTAGCATGCCGACATCTGCTCTCTAGGTAAAATATCTGCTTTTAATTTGGCCTTGGAATTCTTCAGTAGAGACTTGCTGCTAACCTGTAGGCACAGTAATTACCTTTAGAAAACTTCCACTGAAGCCAGCTCTTCCAAGGAATATTTTCATAAAAACATAAAACCATAGAACGGCTTGGAAGGGCTGTCAGGAACCTTAAAGATTGTCTCATTCCGACTCCCCTGCCATGTTGGGGATGCCTTCCACTAGACCAGGTTGCTCAAAACCTCATCCAGCCCATCCTTGAACACTTTCAGCGATGGGGCATCCACAACTTCTCTGGGCACCTGTGCCAGTCTCACCACTCTCACACTAAAGAATTTCATCCTAATTATCTAATCTGAACCTGCCCTCTCAGTTTGGAGCTGTTCCCCTTGTCCTGTCACTACTTGCCGTTGTAAAAAGTCCCTCTCCAGGTTTCCTGCAGCCCCCTTTAGGTACTGGAAGGTGCTGTAAGATCTCCCCAGAGCCTCCTCTGCTCCAGGCTGAACAACCCCAACTCCCTCAGCCTGTCTGCCCAGGAGAGGTGCTCCAGCCCTCTGAGCATTTTTGTGGCCCCCTTGGACTGKCTCCACAGGTCCATGTCTGTGTGGTGCTGAGGATCCCAGAGCTGGACATAGCACTCCAGGTGGAGTCCGAGGTAGCGGGGAGAATCACCCTCCAGATTTTCACCCCCTTGTGAAGCAAGTTTAAAAAGCTTTCCTAGATTAAAAGCCACATTGTAGCAAGATGCAGGTGGCTGCCATTTCTTGCAGGTGTTTTGCAAAGCCCTGTTTTTCTTATTTTGCAAACTGGTCTTTATGGCTGTCTGACAGTGATACCACAGTGAGTAATGCAAAGGCAGTCTGAGGAGTGGTAAGTTCAGTGCTAGAGATTTTAGCATGTGGTTATGTCTACAGCATGTTTTATAAAACCTCTTTTCCTTTTCCTACACTTAGCAAGTGTTGCTCTTGCAGAGGAGGCTGGATGTTACAGAGTTGCGAAAGCATTTTAAAAATAACATTATTTCCATTGGCTTTGAAAAAAATAAAAAAGAAGAGGTGGCCCTGGCACAAAACAGCGTTTGGATGACACACACTTGATTTATTACTTTTTTTTTCTGCTGTGTGTTTGAAGGCTGCATGAACACCTTTCCCTGAAAAGAGCGCAGTGAAAACTTGATGATTAAAAAGTTGATCCAGTAAGATTTTGCCCATACTCTTCCTGGGACAACAATTCATGGCTGCCTCTTTCCAAAAACCTGGTTTTATGTAGCAGCCACAGTCTTAAGCATACAGGAGACTTAGAGTGCTATTCCCACATCTTCTCTGCTTTTCAAATGCAACCAGAATGTTTGCTTTTGCCCAAATTCCTGTGATCAGGCTTCCTAGTCAAAATTTTGAATATTAAAATTTGAACCAGTGGCCTGTGTAGTTTAGGATCGTGGGGCTTGTGATAACGCCCCAGTTTTTCCATAGAAAAGTGAAAAAAAATTATTAAATATTTCAGATGAAACTGCTTGGAGTGCTTGGAACTTGGAAATTCTCTGTAATATTCCTTGGATTATGGTTAGACTTGAAGGGTTTGCCTCAGTTGCATCTTAAAAACATCAGTCTTATGTTTGTCTAGATATTTTCGCAGATGTAGCAATGAGCAAAGGCTTTAGGGAAGGATGTGTCAGTGCACTCATTTATCTTTGGATTCAGTTGACAAATGGGACAAGTGACCCTAAGATCCCTCTGTCCTGGTGTGCTGCCTCTAATACAGGCTGGGATTACTTTTCAGGAAAGAGGGTGAGCAACACCAGCAGTGATGTTCTCACAGCCTGAAATGGTGACTAAAAGTATCCTGGAGAGGGATTGGCCATGGCACCTCTCTGCTGCTAGGGAAGGAAAAGCAGCAGCCAGCAGCTTCAACATCCTCAGGTATGAGAGGCAGGAGCRTGCCAAGATTGTTTGGCAGAGCAAACCAGGTTTGTAAGAATAGATGAGCACYCTGAACTCCCACTGAAATGCTCCACAATATCCACACTTTAAAAATGAGATGTGGAAGCTGTTAATAACTCAGAACAAAGGAAAGGCCAGACTAAATGCAGCCTCTGACCTTATCAGTTTGAGCAAACAGCCAACCTTCAACCAGTTGACTGGATCAAATCCATGAGTAAACATGTTGACAGACTGTTCTTAGAAATGCGTTGCTCAGAACCTACAAATGGGTTTGTTTGAAGACAGATTTCACAGGAGGCCAGCCTTGTTTTTTTTCCCTTTCTTTTTCTGAACGAATTTCTTCCTGATCATAGTAAAGCTTGGCGTGTCTGAAACGTTTGATAYCTCACGTGCACATCTCCCTGTTACCATCTTCCACAGAAAGGCTAATGTTTGCCTGGGAGAGATAACCATGTCAAATATTCTTTTGCCAGAAGCACAATCTGAGCTGTCTGTGATGCATTATAGAAAATATTTTGAGACCCTGAGTAGATTCTGTCTGTTAGACAGAATTGTTTAAGAAAAATAAGTCCATGGATTAAAGTAATCACTCCTGCTGATTAAATGACACTTCTTTATGTTTGTAATAGAATTGTAAACTTCACAATGTTCTTTAGTTGTATGCTGATAAACTTGGATTAAATTGTAAAGGAATRCCCTAAGGTGGTGCCAGCAGCTCCTCATTGAAAACAGAGCACAGGTGAACATTTCAGCTCTGCTGCAAAGGGAGTGCTTCATTTGGCTCTTGTTTTGGTAATCATAACCTTCTGTAAGGCATCACTTTTGAGAGCACTGAAGTTTGACCTTGATCTGTACCCTTTGAAAGGAGAATAATTGGAACAAAATGTCTTGTTTTCATGCTCTGTAGTTCAGATAAGTTTTATTATACTTTAATACAAGAAGGCAAAAACTGCTGTAGAAATAGCTGGGATAGAAGTGGTAACAGAGTTGTGAGAATGTGAAGACAAAGACAAGTACCAGTTTTCAATGCTGTAATTAGTTCTRGCAATCCACCCTCCCAGGGTTAATGGTCTTCTTAAAATGGCAGGAGGAGGGGAACCCTGGAGTTGCAGCTGCACTGTGTAGGTAAGCAAATGACCAAATGTTAAAAATTATGTATGTTGGCCAGCAAGGCTTCTAACAAACTGGACTTTAAACATAARTATTTTGTCTGTTGAAACCCTGTGAGCAAAAACCCAGATGAAAAGTGGGGGTGGGTGTTTGTTTTTAACCTAAAGTTAATTCACCTTGGAAGTCTGAGGGCAGCAGGGACGGCTGGTCAGCTCAGGTTATCAATATTATCTTATCTCATCTTATCTCTGCATGCTGTACTGCATGTAATTTGTGCGATTTCCTTCCRTCTTATCTCACAGCTATGTGCATATTTGTACACAGATGGGCATTTTAAATAAAAAGTTGGATTATAAACTTTTCAAGGAAGGCACCTTCCTATGGCCTGTGCTGCCTCACTTGCCATTAGCAGCAGTTTGTGTGTGTGACCTCTGGATATGCTCAGAGCTCAACAGGTACTGCAATGAATGACAAAAAATGCTTCAGGAACTTTCCTTTTTTTCCATAAATGGCACAAAGTACAAGCTAGGATTTTATCAGCCTAAACTTCTGGTTGTGCTTTCCCCAGCACTGAATTTCCCATGCAAGCATATAAGAATTATTTTGTGGTTTTGAGACAGTCAGGGGTTTCAAAACGGGGAATAAACATTGTGCCTCAGGTTTATTTTTAAGCCTCAGCTTTCATGTCTACCGGCTGTTTTGTTTAGGAAATGGCCTCCAAATTTTCTCGATCTCCATGACCAATGTTAAAATGTGCCAAAAGTACAAGAAGTTGGTGCATAGTTGTTGTATTAGTTTGCTAACATGGAAGATAAATACGGTTGTGTATGAAGCTTGTTCTATGGACAACATCTTCAGTGATTCTCACAAGCAGTTCATGTTTACCGTGTTCTTAAAAATCATGTCCACCCAACATTAATTCCCAAAGTCTTCTTTCACATGTGTATAGCAGGATTTTTTCAGTGCTAAGATTACTGGCAACAGAAATGGCAGAAACAGATATGAGAGGAGAGTTTTATGCAAAAGAAAGATCTTTTTTAACCACTTAAGATTCTGAGCCACCTCCTCATTCTCTCCTCTGATAAGGCCTGGGCCTCATTCAGCTTTCTAGGACACTACCACAGAGCAGAGTAACAAGTGCTGGTGCTCTTCCTCAGTTTTGTAGGTTTTGGTTTTGTAGGTTTTGGTTTTGTAGGTTTTGGTCTTTGGTTTTGTAGGAAAAAAATGCCTCCTGGGGGTGGGACACCTGCAGGACTGGAGCCCTCAGGGTGTCTTCACATGACAAATCTCGCTGAGCTGCCCTTTAAACTGATTTATTGTTTTACTGCTTCCTATAAAAGTGGCTCCCACATGTGAGCAGCAGTGACAGGTGAAGGGCAGGATCGCGGGCGGGGAGCAGCAGCGGGATCGAGGGCYGGGAGCAGCGGGAATGGGGCGCTACTCGGGCCGCAGCAGCCGGCTCATCCTCATGTGCCTGGTCAGCCTGGCCATCTTCGCCGTCGAGATCTCCGTCGCCTACGTGGGCAACTCGCTGTCCTTGGCCTCGGACGCCTTTGCCGTCCTGTCCCACCTGATCTCCATGATCATCGGGCTCTTCGGCGTCMGGTTCAGCCGCATCAGGTGGCACAAGGCCAGCACCTTCGGCTTCAGCCGGGCCGACGTGCTGGGCGCCTTCGGCAACTCCGTGTTYGCCACCGCCCTCATGTTCAGCATCTTCGTGGAGGCCATCAAGAGGTTCATCAACCCTCAGAAGACTGAGAAGGCTCTGCTCGTGCTCG